GACCTATCCCCTTCCTAACTCCCTGCCTACACTCACCTTTACTGGCTCCATCCCCGCCTCTTCGACCTGTTTGTTTCCTCTCCTCTATCCCTCTTCTATCCGCCTCCCACTCTCTCCCTATTTATTTCAAAACCCCCTTCCCCGCCCCCTTTTCTGATGAAGGGTCTAGGCCCGAAACGTCGGCCTCTCTGCTCCTATGATGCTGCTTGGCCTGCTGTGTTCATCCAGCCCTGCACCTTGTTGTCTTGGATTCTCCAGCATCTGCAGTTCCTACTATCCCTGTGTCTAGTAGCTCTTGTTTGGGAAGCTCCAGTTCACTTCCCCCTCCAGGATGTCTTTTGTTTCGATGAGGCTTTGGCTTCCCTGCTGTTGGTTTATGGTTCGGCCTGTGTGATTCTTGGTTCCGAAGCTGTTTGTTGAGGCTGGAAGCTGTTTGTGCAAAAGGATGTTGTAAAATGTTCTCCCCTTGGGTGAGATCAGGGCTGGCAGTTATACAGACTGTATGCCCCATTATCTCTCTTCAAATCGATGTTGTCCATTGTGTTTCTGGTGTTTCTTCTGAAGTCAGTTGGTTTCCCAGTCGTTAAAAGTATGTGTGAATGGATTTTGATTGAAGTGAATGCCTGGTATCTCTGAATGGATTTCATTTGAAGTTGAATATCCAGTATCTCTGCAGGCCCCATACTGTTTGCACTGGTTAGCCCAAGGTGCAGAGACAAGAAAACTGCAGATGCTGGAATCCAAATTAGTCAAACAAGAGGCTGGAAGAACACAGCAAGCCAGGCAGCATCTGGAGGAAAGGAGCAGACAGTGTTTCGGGTAGTACCCTTCTTCAGGACTGGATGTGGGGGTAGGGGGAGCTGCAGATAAAAGTGGGGAGAAGAGGTGGAGGCAGAATGTTGGACACTGGTGGTAGGTATGACCTGGTTGGTCGATGGGAGGGATGAATCCGGTTGGTGGCTAGAAGGGAAGCTGGGGGTTGGATGGGAAGGTTGTTTGAAATTGGAGAATTCAATGTTGAGTCCTCCGGGCTGTAGGGCGCCCAGGCGGGAGATACGGTGTTGTTCTTCAAATTTGCGTTCTGAGTCGCTGCAACACTGGAGGAGGCCGAGGATAGACATGTCGGAGGGGGAGTGGGACAGGGCATTGAAATGGGCGGTGACTGGGAGGTTAGGTTGGCCATTACAGGCCAGGCAGAGATGGTCAGCGAAATGGTCACCTTGTTTATGTTTGGTCTCACCAATGTAGAGGAGACCACATTGGGAGCACTGGATGCAATAGACTATGTTGGGGGAGATGCAGATGAAGTTCTGTCTCACCTGAAAGGGCTGTTTAGGGCTTTGAATGGAGGTGAGGGAGATGGTGTGTGGGCAGGTGTTGCATCTTTTACAGTTACAGGGGAAAGTACCGGGATTAGGCGGGCGAGGGGGGTGGGGTTTGGAGTGGTTGGTGGTTTGGAGTGGTTGGTGGTTTGGAGTGGTTGGTGGTTTGGAGTGTGGCGCAAACTAAATAATGGCGAAGGGAATGGTCCTTGCAGAAGGCAGGGAGGGGTGGGGTCTAATTGAAGTTGGCAGAAATGTTTGAAGAACTCCAACCCCAATTACACCCCATCACCCGGAACATCTTCCACTCCCCACCCCTCTTGCTTCCGCAAGGGCCATTCCCTTTGCCACTCCTCAGTTTGCGCCACACTCCCCACCATCCGGTACTCCTCCAATTTCTCTACGTCGGTGAGACCAAATGTAGACGAGGTGACCATTTCAGAGTGTCTCCGCCTGGTCCGTAATGGCCAGCCTAACCTCCTGGTTACTGCCTGTTTCAACTCCCCGTCCCACTCCCCCCTTCGACGTGTCCATCCTCGGCCTCCTCCAGTGTTACAGCGACTCGGAACGCAAATTTGAAGAACAACACCATATCTTCTGCCCGGGCACCCCACAGCCTGGAGGAGTCCACACCGAGTTCTCCAATTTCAAATAACCTTACCACCCATTCCCCACCTCCTCTTCTAGCCCCACCTCCTCCCTTCCATTCCACCTTCAATCAGATTCATCCCTCCAGTCGAAAAACCAGTTCATACCTACCACCATTATCCACCTATCACCACCGTTCTGCCTCCACCCCTTCTCACCACCCCCAACTTTATCTGCAACTCCCCCTACCCCCACATCCAATCCTAAAGAAGGGTAATACCGAAATGTTGACATTCTGCTTCCTCCAGATGCTGCCTGGCCTGCTGTGTTTTTCCAGCCTCCTGTTTAACTAGCCAGCAGTGTAGAAGCTAGTTCTGGTTATTGTCCCCTTACAGAGGAGGTGTAAATTGGAATTCCAGGCTGAACAATGGTTCCAGACAGCCATCTCAGTTCTGCGAGTTGTGTTTGTATTCTCCACAGAACTCATTCCAGCTTCCATTTACAGAGGGTTGATATTATGAATGTTTCTTCAGTGCGAATTAGCTTTAGTGCAATTGAAGAATTTAGAACACAAACTTTCCTTACCTGTATTGGGTACACATGATTTCAGCCCCATTAGTTTAAACAGCGCGGCTATTGCACGATTTTCTTGTAACACAAAATTGCACGAGAACAGAACTATTGTGTTATATCAGAACCGACTGTGCGTTTTAAAAGTTTTGATAAGTCCAGGCGTTTTTCCAGTATATAAGATGTTGGAAAAGGTCCACGGTCTAGTCCAGCACTTTTGATGGGGGGATTTTTGCTCGATCCTACAAGCATTTCCTATATTTAACAGGTTCTACACTTGTAAAGTTCATCTTTGGCTGTAGACTATTTTGTGACTTCGTGGTTGTGAAGGATGCTATACGAATGTAAGCCTTTTTTAAAACCTTTATCCCTGCTAAACAATCAAAAGAACCTTTGTTCAGCATTGCTCAGATCAAACTATTTTGTTTAGAATTTTCCTTGGATCTATTTTTAATTAATGTAAATGTGAACTCCCGACCACCAATGTAATGGGTTGCTGTACGACAAAAATAATCCCTAAAGTATAGTCAAACCACCTCTGGTGATGCACTACATTTTATAAGAAAAGTGGGAAGGAGTTAGTGTTTTCACTGTCTGACTGCTGACAAATTTGGGCATTTATTTATGTAGGTAAAATGTTGGAGGAAAAATTCCATTTAAATTAGAATTGTAGGATTTTACTGAATAGAAAGAAACCGTTTGGCATGTAAAACATGCCAGATTTCTGAAAGAGTTATCCATTTTGTTCCATTATCCATTAACCTTGTAGATTAATCACCTTGAAATATTTGTCTTATTCACTCAAGTGCTAATGTGAATTCTGCCTCTACTACTTCTCGAAGTAGGCAATTTATGTTCTAATAACCCTCAAAGAACTTTTCCTAACCTGTTGATTTTTTTTGACAGTTGTGGTTTATTGCCATTTAAAGATTGACGTATCAACTAATAAAAGTAGTTTTTCCGATTTACCATATCAAAGTCCATTTTAAAAAAAAAACCGTTGAACACTTATCAGATCTACTTCCATCTAGAAATGTAGCTCAGTTTCTCTAAAACTGCTTATTCCTAGTAACTTTTAAATAAACCTTTCCTGCATCCTTGCCACAGTTTTGAAATAATTTTAGAAGCAGGATCCAAAGACTGAACATAGTCATCCAATTTTTTGGGGATTCCCAATCACTCAATGTAGTTTTAGCAGACAGTTGGCAGACAGCCTGGAGAAGCACCAATAAATGTTTTTCTGGAGCTCCTTCTCAATTTGAAATCGAGGAATCCCTGTAGAAATTATAAGTGTGTTATAACTTTTTTTATTTATGTAGAATTAACACTCTATTTGTATACCATATCATCCTTCATAAAATGAGGGTCCAGTATTGTAATATTTGCCTTTCCATTCACAAAGATTTTATGTTCCTGTGTTTTCCATTTTGTTACGGACGGGACTTGGGCTCCACTGGTCAGGCTGGCATTTCTTGCCCATCCCTCGTGTTCATGAGAAGGTGGCGTTGAGCTGTTTTTTTGAAACTGCTGCTGCTCCACACTGCTGTGGAATGTCCACAGTGCTCATACTAGAGAGGAAGTTCTCAGATTTTCACTCATCAACAATGAAGGAATGACAATGTATTTCCAAGTCAGAATGGTGAGTGACTTGGGGGGGAACTTGCTCATGGGGTGTTCCCATGTATCTGCTACCCTTGTCCCTCACAAAAGTAGGAGTAGTGGATTTGGAAGGGGCTGTCTAAGGAGTCTTGATGAATCTTTACAGTCCATCTTGTAGATGGCACACACTGCTGCTGCTCAATGTTAGTGGTGGAGAGAGTATTCTATCAAACTCCTAGCTTCTGCCTTTTAGATTGAGGACAGGTTTTGGGAGTCGAGGTGAGTTACTCATTGCAGGTTACCTAGTCTCTGACCTGCTCTTGCAGCCACTGTATTTATGTGGCTAGTCTGGGTCAGTTTCTGTTCAATGGTAACCCCCAGAATTTGTGATAGAGAAATCCTAAATTTCTGTTACCGTTTTACCATTTAGTGCATAATTCCTGACGTCAAAGTTTATTGGTCTGTCTGTTTTTCTTTCATAACATGTCAAAACTCTTTTTTTAAACATAATGAGTGATCTGTAATGCACTATCTAAAAGGGGGGTATTGTAATTTTAATAATAAAACAATGTAACCTCTCCAACCCAGAATGCTTGATATCTAGTCATTTCTTGATTATAGAATGTTTGTGGTTTGAATGCCTAACCACAGATATGTGAAACAGAAAACACCAAAGATATAAATATTTACCTCAAACGTTAAAAGGTGATAAAATATTATATAGCAGAAATAAGTTGTTTTACTTACTCAAATACTATATCTTCAATGCTTCTGCTCCCTTCAAGAGAATGCTGATGACCCAACTGCTTGGCTCTTTTTATTAAAAAAAAAAGCAATTTCTCACAACTGATCTCTCTGAACAATAAAAGTTAGATTGGAAATGTTGCTGTATATTTAAAAGAAATGAAATAGCAACTTTAAGGGAAAAAGTTTGGGCTATGGGGAAATAACAGCATGAATTGGATAACTCTACCAAAGAGCCAGTAGATGCTTAATGCATATACCTTGTGGTATATAGAACCTATCTGCTACTTATGTTAGACTGTAATACCTTTCCCTATTCCTGTATAGAGTGTTACATTAGAAATCAACAAGACATCTGGAGCAGCTTTCATATCCAGAGATGATTGGGGTAATTCTCTACTCTATTTCTCTCTGACTTTACACATAGCATTTCGTAGTGCCCTCCTGATCCATAGTTATTCTAGTGAAAGTGTCTCTCTTCATAGAATCTCTGCCTTGTTTACCAGACCTTGACTTGAATGATTCTAACTCTGATAATAACTCCAAGACTGTTTGGACTTTGAAAGCTTTACGTACTTCAGACAATTTAAGACCACAAGCCAATGAAAAATTTGAATCTAGGAATTCAGTAAATGGATTCAGTGCCCTCTCTCAGTTGAATTTTCTTTTACAGCAACTTGATTTAATGTTTTGTGGATATAGCCATTTCTGTTCTTTTGAGACAGAATTAAACCTTAATTGTTTGACAAAGTAGATTTAATTCTGTCAATGACACCTCTTGCTTTCAGAAGTAGTTAATATGTGAAAAATATGAGTTAATATTGGAGGTTCGATATCATGGTTTTGTCTTTTATTGACATTTAAAGTTTCGTTTATTAATTAGTTCAGAGGCCAATGCGTGTGCGACTTGTCAGTTCTTTAAATACATTGCTCACTTCCAGTAAATATCCTGCAAGTTGGTTTTATTGGTGAAATCTAAGCAGTCTGTGCACGTAAATGCACAAAAGATTTTTGCAAGGAATGGTGGAGACTTGGTGGAAGTGAGGCAAATAAAATTAAGTAACAGGAATATACATCAGTTCATAGTAAAAGGCAGCATGACCTCAAAATATAGGTCCCAATGGTGTGTAGTAGAACCTAGAAACATCTCATGTGGAACATCTGACCTACTTACGAGTCTCTCATGGATGGGTAATTCACTGCACATTGAGCTTGCTTGATCATTGAATACCATCCTTTTTAGCTCAATGGGTACATTCCACGGATTACCCTGTAGATCATGCAGTTAAAGAAAAAAGCTGACGTTTGTTTCTGTACAACATAAAGAATGAATAAGCTGTCGGTTTTGGTTTTCTGATCATTACCTATGCTAAGTGACATTTAAATACTTTATGATAATGGAAAATATATTGTACAAGCTGTTATATATGGTGATATGTATTGCTGGCCCAGTGATAATGCGTTTTTGATTTAATTCTGTTTTAGAGTAAAGATGGGAAGACTCCATTGCACATGACAGCAATTCACGGCAGATTCTCAAGGTCACAGACCATCATTCAGAATGGTAAGTGACCTATTTATTAAATAAGTTATTATACATTTCAAGAGTTTAGTTGTCTATGTAATCTTCCTCTGCATTTTTAAATTGTTCTTCTTTGTATATTTAATTTTAATCTGGTACAGACCAGCTGAACAAATTGGCTCCTTATAAAATTGAGACCAGCAAGGCAGAAGAGCTAGATTAAATATAGGGCCTGAGTGATTGGCAAAGATTTGGGCCATTTAAAGCAGAGAGGTTGAGCAAACTGTGATTTGCTGCAGTCAAGAGGTTTTTTAAAATAAAAGCATATAAAATTCTAAGACAAAACCTTGAATATCTGCTAAATCCACGCTAACCGTGTGATAGCAATCAGTATTACAGTTCATTACTATATTACAGGTCAAAGCACAGAGAATGCCTAGCCTTTTAAAAGGCATGACATAATAATTCAAGATTTTTAGTGATATAAAATATTATGTCGCTGCCAATGCTGAACAAGTCACGTTTTACTGTGTATTCAACCACCTCTGAATTGAAGACTTGTCCTGTTTGAGAGGTATTGTTACTGGAATGATATCTTGCCCAGCTTTAGTGACCACTGCTGCTGCCAGCACCACTCATAGCTCCACTAAAAGCAGAAATCACAATAATTGAAATAATTTGTCCAATCCAATGTGTATAAGGATCCTCTAGTTGTTATTTCATTTAGAGATGAAATATCATCTAGAGATGATATCTCTACACACAAGCTTGTGTTTCCTGACCACTTAACCATAAGTTATAGCACAAAATATCTGCAAAATCACATTCTCTGGATGAATAATAAAGAGCTTTGTTGATGATGTGCAATAGAAATGATAACAAGGTTTCTCTGAAAGATAAACAAACACTGACAGGTTTTCTTTAATTTACTATTGACCACTAATCTAATCTCCTAAGAAAAATTGAATAGCAAAAGCTAATTTCTGAAAACAAGCCACAGGAGTGCTTTAAAACTGTTTCAAAGCATAAACAAGAGTCCAAAGTAAAGCATATTTTTTAAGTCAGGTAGTAAATGTTTCCATTACCTTAGATTTATTAGTTGCTGAAAAAGTCTTGAAGCGGGGCAACAGTTGTATCCTTCCACAACTTTGAGATCTCAGTGGAAGTAAAGGAACTTGAAAACTATAGCTATCTTCAATGGAGCATAATTGGAGCAATGGATATGGAGTTATGGTACAAAATTAGAATAGATAATTCAATTGCCTATTAGACTTGGCAAGGTAAAAACTTGTAGAGCAGCAATGTGGGATTTACAGAGGGAGAACTAAAAAACTAACATAAATGATCAGCAAAGCTAGAAGGTACATGTTGATAATCAAAGGACTAAACAGTGCACAAAGCTAAAAAATGTAAAGCATGACAAAATTTAAAAAGGTAAAGAAGAGAATCTGTCAGGGATTGAAAAGCATGGATAATGCTTTCAAATTTAATGCATTAATACAAATATAGATCAAAGGAGATAAGGTAATTAGTGAGCAAGACTTACCACAGACAGGATTGGTCTTTTTTGGAAAATATAGCTCGATGCTGAGCAATGAATCAATAGTAAGGGGAGATTAAAATAAATCAAGTTTGAAAATGACGAAAGGATGAGTACAGGTCTCAAAGGAGCTGAGGCAGTGGGAACAGAGGTAAGACTGTAGGCGAGCAGTGTTATGCAAATGAAAGTAGACTGTTTTGGTTTGAATCATCAGATTTGAAATTTTGCTAATGGTCAAGCAGTGCAAAGATTGAGCATCATTTGCTCAGTTGGAAGAAATGATGAGGAAGGAATTGGGATCATTTGCTGGATGAAAAAACCTCCTACAACTAAATAAAACAACCAGTCTCATGTTTATTTATATTTATGCATATGAATTATTTTTTCTTTTGTAGGTGCAGAGATAGATTGTGAAGATAAGAATGGTAATACTCCATTACATATAGCTGCTCGATATGGACATGAACTTCTTATAAACACTCTAATCACCAGTGGAGCAGACACTGCAAAGTGAGTAACAGTAGTTGACTTTTGTGCTAGATAGTAGCTGCCTAAATTCCATTGAATGTGAGCTTAATAGACAGAGTCAATAGGTAATTCAACTGCAAAAGCGTCAGAGCTGAACCCAAGTTTGTCTTCATTTGACGTTTGTGTGGTTCTATTAGGTATACCTGGACAGTGATCAAGATCACTTCTCTCGCTTTCCCACCAGGTGAGGTCTTTTGTACCTTTGCCACTGTTGTGACTAGAGTTAAATAACTCAGCACAGATTCAGTGTATGAAGTTGACTGTCATCTGATTGAAGCAAAAAAAAGGCAAGTTGCCAAGAAGGGCACTAAGGTCTGGATTTTGGCCTGATTTTAAATAACTTATTAGCACGGTGGAGGTATCACTCCCTATTGCAGACATCTGAGCAATGCTTTCTGCAATTCTTAGAGAAATTCAATTTAATAAAGCTTGTGTCATAACCAGATTTTAGATCGAAGGATGACATTGTTAATCTTGCTGTGCTAATATTCTTATTGAAATTAAGTGACTAAAATTAAAGACATTTCTTTTGAACATCTCTTCACAAGATACAGTGCAGTAGAATCCATGGAATGATGGATTATGTATGGTTTACAGAACGGCTGAGTTTGGTGGGAACTGTTTATTTTTCCTGTTCTATGATTTCTAATTCTAATGTTGGCTATAAAAGATTAAAATAATTTCATTTTTTAAATTTAATTTAAGTATTCAACAATTATAGTTTTAGTGTTGACTGGATTACTTTCAATAATTCCACCCAGATCCTTTCCTACTTTTTCACTAAGTCGGATTTCCAACAGAACTATTCAGCCTATTTTTAAAATGAAAATTCTGGATAAGGTGAAAAAAAAAGGAAAAGGCACCCAGCATTAGTAAAGATAACAGAATTAATAAAAATAAAGATCAGAAAAGACCCAGGACGAAAGAGCCAGCTTGATTGGCACTACATCCACAAGCATCCGCTCCCTCCACCACTGGCGCTCAGTGCACTACGGAAATTCACCAAAGATCCTTAGACAGCACTTTCCAAACCCACAACCACTTCTGTCTAGAAGGTCAAGGGCAGCAGGTACGTGGGAACACCACCACCTTCAAGTACAAAAACAGAAATTGCTGGAAAAGCTCAGAAGGTCTGGCACCATTTGTGGAGAGATATCATAGTTACCGTTTCAGGTTGAGTAATCCTTCCTCAGAACTTCAAGTTCTTCTCCAAGCTGCTCACCATCCTGACTTGGAAATATATTGCTGCTCCTTCACTGTTGCTAGGTGAAAATCCTGGAATTCCTTCCCTGTCTACCCACAGCAGGTGGATTGCAGCGTTTCAAGAAAGCAGCTCACCATCACCTTCTCTCGGGCAATTAGGGGTGGGCAATAAATGCTTGCCAGCTAGCAATGCCCACATTCCCACAAATGAATAAAGAAAAACAAAACATTTGATCAAAATGATCGGCTCTGGAAAAGTTTTTTAAAGATTGAATAAAGGGATAAAAGAGAAGGAGAGGTTTAGAAGGCACCTCCAGAAAATGGGACTGGCGCCTTGAAGGATCTCATCCGCTGTTGGGGAGCAGAATTAATACAAATACATAGAACATGTTGGTCTCAGTAAAACTGATCATTCATTCCTTAATCCAAACATATCTGTAAAATCTTGTAAATATTGTCATGGCTAAAGAGAGGTTTTAAATATGGAGTTGGTTAGCTCAGTTGGCTGAATGGCTGATTTGCAATACAGAATAATACCAACAGTGCAGGTTCAATTCCCACACTGGCTGATGTTACCGTGAATACCTCACTGTCTCAAACTCTGCCCTCACCTGAGATGTCGTGACCCTCAGATTAAATCACCGCCAGTTTCTCTGTTTGGTGAGAGAGCAGCTCTATGGTCCGCAGACTGTGGTGACATTAATATGAAGATGATAAACAGACTGTGACAGGAAGAGATAGAGATTATAAATGTAAGAGTCAAACAGCAGATAAAACTGGTGTTCACACTGAGTAAAAGGATAACGTTAGAGGCTTTGTACGTGAATGCATGTGGGACATGAAGCAGAACCAATGAACTGAGTGTGCAAAGAGAAATGGGTAAACACATTCTGGTAGTCATTACAGCAATGGCTGCAGGCGGACGTGGATGAGAACTTGAATCTTGAAGTATATAAGACATTTAGGAGTGAAGGGAAAGTAGGTAAAGATTGTGGGATGGTTCTGGTAAGTAGCACAATTGCGAGGATTGAGATCTAAGTTCAGGAAACCAAGATATGGAAACAGTTCGGATAGAGATGAGAAATGATAATGGCAAGAAGTCACTTGTGGGAATGGTGTATGGGACCGTGAACAGAAATAGGGAATAAAGGAAGAAATGAGAGTTTGTCACAAAGGGACAGCGATTATCATGGGAGATTCTGTCCATATATCAATTGGAAAAGTCAGGTGAGCAAAGGTTGCCTAAATGAAGACTCGGAATATATTGAAAGTGTCTTCTCGGAACAGCATGCTCTGTAGCTGACCAGAGAGCAGGCTATACTAGACCAGGTGTTGTGCAGTGAGAGAGGATGAATTAATGATGCCATAATGAAGGTGCTACTAAGTAGCAGCAAATAAGATTGAATTTTGCTTCTGTTTGAGCCAAGAGTGAGTGCAAGATTTTGTAAAAATTTAAATAAAAACAGTTGACGGCATGAAAGCAAAATTCATTAATGTGAATTGGCAAATTAAGTTAAAGGATAGGTTTATTGGAACAGTGTAAGACATTTAAGGGGATTTAAGAATTTAGAGAATAGATGCATTCCAACAGGTAAGAAAAATTTTGAGGTACTAACCCACTATCTCTGCCAGTTGGTTTCATAAAGTACCATTAAACGATCAAATTAATATTTCTGAAGTCAAAAATATTTGGAGCTGCTTTTTACTGAGGATTGCTCGTAGAGTTATTACTGCAAGGTTTATTACTCCTGAAGAAAAAACTTGCTTTTCAGAATGGTATATAAATGTATCCATGGCACTTCACATACACTGACTGTTACCAGCAATTGTGGCAGTCAGCTAGATGATGATCCAAGAACTGAATGCTGAGATTTCACTCATTCACAGGATGAGGACAAGTTGTTACTTGTCCAGTTGTTTATTTATCTTCAACTGGTGTATTGAGTAGTGTGTATCTAGTCTTCTTTATTCTTTTTTGATTTATGTATTTTACCAACATATATTTGATTTGACTTCTTATTGTTACATGTACTGAGATACAGTGAAAAGTACTCTGTGTGTGTGTGTGTGTGTGTGCGTGCGCGTGCTAACCAGATAAATCGTACATTACATTAGTGCATCAGGGTAATAGAACAGAATGCACAATATAGTGTTTCAGCTAGTGAGAAGGTGCAGAGAAGGATCAGCTGTAATATGAGGTCCATTCATAACTCTGATAACACCAGGGAAGAAGCTGTTCTTAAATCTGTTGGTATGTGTTTTCAAACTTTTGCTATCTTCTGCTTGATAAAAGAGGATGGCTAACTGTAGGGATAGAGCAAAATATCAGTGTACAGTAATTTAAAGTACTTGTTGACACAATGGAAGCTGATATTTTAATGGCAGCTTTTAACGCTATAACTAATTCTGCTTCTGCCAAGAAGATTGTTTTCTTGATTAGAATTTTCACGTTTATTGGTTCAGTGAATAATGTGATATGATGAATAACTATAAGCATTTCAAAATTTTGTTTCCTCCTTTCTAGCCGGGGTATCCACGGAATGTTTCCACTACATTTAGCAGCCTTAAGTGGTTTTTCTGATTGCTGTCGCAAGTTGTTGTCCTCAGGTATTTATAATTAATTTGGAACTAAAAGTCACTACTCCCTGTCTAGCCATTCTCTACTGCTGACTCATGAAGCAAAGACATTTTGACGTACTCAAGATATGGGGATAGAACTTCACCTCGGGCAGTGATGCAAAATATTAGATCAGTAGCACACAATGTGCATGTATTTAATGATGCAATAAAATATTTAAAAAAAAATTTTTAATTGCATTGCAGTATAACCAGCAGCTTATCCAAAAATGCCAGTTATATGCCACTGTACAAGATGACTTTCTAACCCATGATCTGTACGTTACCATCTTTTCAAAACAAAATTCCACTGCTCTTGCAACCTACACCCTATTTATTGTTGAGTATTAGATCCCTAATTCATTTTGTTTCAGCACTTGACAGTTGATTCCTGAATAAACAGGTGACTATTTTGTGGTGCAGAACCATGAACCAACAGAAAGTCTGCATCTTTTCCTATTGCCAGATTTATCTTCCATTGGCTTCCACTTTCCAAAATCGCTTGCACTTTTTTGTTTGTTACATAACATTAAGATGGATTAAACTAAAACGTAAAATACAAAGATAAAAAGTATGAGCAAGTATAGCTGAATGTTGTATGTAATACAAATATTAATGCATTTGAATTTCTTGTGCATTGTAAGGTAGTTAATGGACTGAAGGAACTTAGTGTTATCACTTCCTTACCATGATAAGTTGCGGTTTTTCTGAAAATAATATCCCCGTGACTGGAAAAACTGTTGTATGCTGATTTACCTTAATATAAATAATTTTCTTTCTAAAGGTGAGACAAGTGATAACATCACTGCCCTAATCTGTCAACTTTCTATTAAAAGTTCTATATCTTTTATGTTGTGAGGTAATGTTAGATTATTGTAAGTGAATATGATTTGCGAACATGATCCCATACAGGGGTGTAATTTTAAAGACCCGACATTTGAGCATTTCCTGTACTTACGAATAGCTGCTTCACATTGTCTTGCATTGTTTTCAATTTGCAAACAGACTCCAGAACAGAACCCAAGATAACAAGGTTTAGAGCTGGATGAACACAGC